TACCATTTCCTGGAAGCAAACTTTCAGTAATTTCTATTCATTTTAAATTAGCTCAACTTATTGCACTTTTACTGTATGATTTAAATGAGAATTTCACACAGAGGAACATGTTATACCAGTGTCACACCAGCCCAGTGTCACTGGAAATGTTCTGGAAATGTTGTTGTTTTTAACGGTTTGCTTGTATGTATACCTTGCAGGCTCGCAGCAAGCTGTCACAGATTCAAGATAGTCAACAGGAAGTGTCTAAAAGCATTGAGCAGTACAACAGCACCTTGAATGGAAACCATGGAGGCAGCATGACCAACTTGGCTGACATGAGTGAAGGCTTCAGTGACCGAGAGAATGGAGGATTTCCAGCCATGGTGAGAGCAGTACAGGTCAGGATCTTTGATAGAGGTGTGCTTTTATTTTCCAGTGTGCTGTGTAACATTTATTAAGGTCATAGGATTTGGTTTTATAGTCCTGGGTAGACCTGGTGCTCGTTTGTTGTGCCCGATCGTTGTTACCTTTTTCATTTGTGAAGTTCCACATTCACAATTGTAGTGTGGATTTCTTTTTAATTCGTTTTAACTCATCTTGTATGCCATCACAAGTATTTAAGCAAACTTCCTTCATATGCCTTCTTAAATTTTACATGACCTTCTATTAAATGCATATGCAACCAAGTGTTATATTGTTTTTGACAAGCAAAGATACAGCTTGTGTGACAGAACGCATAAAGCTGTAGTGAATCGGATCCCATGGATGTATATGTTATGATATGTGCTCACATTACTCGTACAAATACAACAAATGAAATAAAACCTATACATATCATGCATACATATCTAAATATTCTGTTTGTCCACAGCAGAAGAGATGATAAAAGCTTCTGTTCTCTCTCTCTCTCTCTTTGGCTTTCTCATTTCCACAGGAGGACCCATTCAAAGTGAAGCCATCTGTGTTTAACAGTCAACCTCAGGGGCTTCCCACTGACCCCTTCCAGTCTGAAGACCCCTTCAAAACAGACCCATTCAAAGGTTGTCATCCCCCTTAACTTTCACGGCATCACCATCTCTAAGTGTTCCTCTTAATCTTTTAATACAAGTGGCTTATTCCTCTCCTCTGCTATCCTCTCCTCTCTTTACTGCACTGCATGTTGGGAGTATGGGTGAATGAGTGTCTAAAGATGATTGATGAGTGTGTGGATCACGCCAAATCACAACAACAGTCTCCTCAAGGCATTTTAGATTGTAAGGTGGACCCTACAGTAATACCGACATGAGACTACAACACATAGTCTCTTTTAATATAGGCATTTATGTATTGGAGTGACCCATTACAATATTTTTTAAAGTTAAGTACAACAATGGTTTATACACCGTGTAAAACTGGATAACTTTTGACTCTGGTGATGAAGTTCATCCAGCCCTCATGAAGATCAAAGTGTGGGCATGGGTTTAGGTGAGGAGTGGCAGGCTGGTGACTGTGGTGAGCAACAACTTGCAGGCTAAACAGCAGGCAACAGTTAGTGCTGTCAACGGCAACCCACAAATATCTCAGCATGATACAGTATAGGCAGCAGCTGTCTCTCTGAAAACTGATTTGATAAATGATGTTGTTTGAACATCCGTGGAGTCCCGTGGCAGTGGGCTTTACACCACAGCATCTGGTGATGCAAGGCATGTAAGCTGCTGCTCAGCTTTGAAAATAGATTGCATGAAGCTCTCTATGCACAGTTCTTGATCTGATTTGACGAGTACTTGAAGTTTGGGGGTCTGATGCAACTGACTGCAGAAAGTTGGCGACCTCTGTCTACTATGTGCCTCATCATCCGCTCACCCCGAGTTGCTGACATCCCAATAATAAAACTGACAGTTGACTGTGGAAGTGATAATGATCAATAATCAGTGGCAATGCTGTCAGAGTTGCCATAGAGACCGTGAGCTCAGGTTGAGCGAAAAAAGACTTTATTCTAGTTTCCAGTTTTCCAGCAGTGTTTGTTACTGTATTTGCCATAAAACACGTTACTGGGAAAAAGCTGAGTTTTTAATCAAAGCACCTCTTTGACTGAACATGAATAAAAGCAAACTTTATAGTTGCTCCTTTCATCCACAGTCATGACACAGTCAAGTTACAGAAGTTAAAACAAGAGCACTCAGTTTGTGCAACTCCCCCCAAAGGCCAAGGGCTGTACAAAAACGTAGATGTTTTATGTTTTTATTACAACATTCTGACGTCAGCCTGTTTTTGTTACAATATGATGATGTCAGCCTTTCATGGCATTACTATGACATCGTAGGGCATTGTATTGAGAAAACAAATAAAACCATTTTTTATGGATATTCTTCCAATTTCACATTGATATACTAGGCCTTGGGGGACATGAGTATCTAGGTTGCCCAAGCATTTGACCTTGACCTTCATAATGATGCCAAAAGAAGGATGTTAGCCAAACTAATGTCCTTTATGTACAGCACCACTCACCCCCTGCACTGTGGAGCAGCTCCTAAAGCAGTAGACTGTTATGGTGTAGGTCTGAGGGCCGTTGTAGGTCCTTCATCCAAACAGCAGATGGACTATACAGTGCCCACACAGGATAAATAGTGTTTAAAAATACATGTATTTTGTTTATCCCACTGCATTTTATGTAGATATAAAAATGAAAAATCCTGCTGTATAGTAACCAGGGGTGGTATAGCAACCTGCCCATCACCTGCCCATAGTATCGTATTTTGGGTTTTTAAATTTTTTTAATATAACTCTGATTCACCTTTTCTTCCTGTTCCCTGTGCTGCTGTAACAAGTGAATTTCCCCAGTGCAGAATGTAATAAGGTGGATGTCTATAAATGAATGAATACACATCAAATCTACGTCAACCAGAAGATATAATAATCAGAGGTTTTTGGCTCCTCTTAATGTAAGGAAGCCTCCCAAGAGTACAGAGTAAAAACTACTTTATTTTATACCTTAGTTTAAGTTGTGTGTATGACTTATTTTATTTGGCATTGCTATATTTGTTTATTTTTGCATTTAATGAAATGTTTTCTTCAAAAAACCTGATTCTAATACAAATACAATGAGAGGGTTTTTAATTCTTTTGCTGGATCTTGTATGCAGTCAAATGATTAAAAACACCAAAGTTTCAGAATCCAGCAAGCAGTTCATTTTAAAAGAACTGTTTTTTTTAATCCTTTGAATATTTATGGTCATTAAGATCCAGCCCTGGTAAGTGGTCTCATCCCTTCTACGCGCTCTTCTCCTCTCTCCTCTTCTCTACTCCTCAATCTGCGTTTACTGCTTTATGTGTATTAAGTTGTCTTCCTCCTAGTAGCTTATATTTTCCAGCTTGAGTTAATTTATGACTGTCTTTTGTCTTCTTCCTGCCTTTCCCTCTTTGCTTGATTCCTCTCCTGTAGGCGACCCTTTTCAGAATGATCCTTTTGCAAAGCAGCCTCCAGTACCCACAGGTATTTACTTCAGGGAAGAAAGGTTAATAATTTTTCTTTTTTGAGAGGTAATTTAATCTTGGGGCAGAAAATAAACTGCAATATTTCATCACTTAAAATGTTGCACTAAAACTGTTGTGCACACTACATTGAACAGGTTTAGCATTTACTAGAATGCATGCATGTTTTTTCCTTAAACGAATTACAATAATTCGCATGGAATGTACCTTACAAATCTATCATGTAGCATATTTTTTGGGGGGGTTGTTTTTACAACCCCAAGTGTGTATTTTTTACTGAAATATTAAATGGGCTGTACCTTTGAGTAGACACTTTTCTACTCAGCTTGAGTACATTCCCACTACATGGACCGGCAGAAACACAAATTACATTCCCACCACAACCCTCATAGAAGCACTTTTTTGTAAGCCGTTTGCATTTCTTATAGGTTTTTAAACATAGAGAGACTACCTCAATAAAAAAAAACAAAAAATCCCAAAACAACCTCCCAACTCATTGATTATATTGACTTACTCAGAGCTCTTTCCAAGTACTTCTTGGAATACTTACTGTGTTTGTTTTGACCTTTTGGTCCATGCTTTGGTTTGATGTTTTTATGATTCCTATCTGCTGATGCTTTTGTTTACACTTGGCTAGACTTAGCCATACAGTGGGTTAAAAAACATATTTGAGCCCCTGGTCAATTTGTAACTTTCACACTTGCAAAAGAATGAACACTCTCTAATCTTTGTTCAGAATCAGAGAGGCTTTATTAATCCCAGAGGGAAATTGAGTCGTTATAGCAGCAAACATCAAGCACTCATATAAAATGAGTATAGAAACGGAGGTATTAATATAAATATACATATAAATATTAAAGAACTTGCTACTATTGACACTTAGAATATCAGGCAATACTCCAGGAAAAAAACGTTACACAAAAGTTATACATTTTTTTGTATGAGTCATTGAATGAAGTAAGTATCCCAAAGCAAAACATGACGTACTACTCTCTAAATCCTTGCGGTTTCTTGACTGCAGCTTGGCAACTCAAAGTTTTAGCTCCCTCCACAGATAGAGGCTAGAGGTCTGGAGACTGGCTAATTGCATAATGTTGGAAGACCCATCTGCAGTGTTCCGTCTGAGGAAAGGGGATACAGGACCTTGTCCACTGGCCCCTTAATGTGGTCAAGTCCTGTACCCTTAGGACAGAAACAACCCCAAGGCATGTTTCCAACTCCATGGGGATGGTGTTCTAGGGGTCATAGTCAGCAAGACTTCAATCCATTACATTGTAGTGTCTTACCAGAGGTGTTTTTTGGAGACTGAGGTCCCAGTTGCCTTCAGATCATTAAGAAGCTCCTCCCATGCAGTTTTGGGCTGATCCAATACCTGTCGAATGATCATCCTCACACCATGAGGCAACATATTGCACAAAGCTCCAGACTGAGGGCAATTGATGATAATCTTATGTTTCGTTCGTTTCCAAATAACCACATCAACAGCTTTCCCCTTCTCTTCAAACTTCTTGCTGATGGTCTTGTTTATCAAGTCTTCAGTCTTGTCCCTATCATCCTTTGGCAGCTCATTGGTCTTGCCCATTGTGGTGGCTGGGAATGATGGATTGATTGAAATAAAGAAAGAAAGGAAGAAAGAAAGAAAGAAATCTGAGGGAGGCAGAATTCTGGTTGGGTTGTAGGGAATCCGCATGCATGCACTGCGGTAGCTGGCCAATACAACGGGACTCGCTTTTTTCCCGAGCTTCACTGTGCAGCAAAGAAGCTACAGGCGGCCATGACAGTCAAAAACCACGTTCCCACATTTTGGCTCTGCGTTAAGTGGCTACACACATCACTGTGCCTGGCTCTGCACTGTATCTGGAGCTGGATGGTGCGAATGGAAGCTGCCATAGTTAATTCACCACGGAAATGTCCCTGGTGTACCCATCCGACAGCCATAGTGTAGCTGGCCCCTCAACTCTTCTGTCTGAGCACTGCAGATTGTGCATGTTTCAGCAGGACAAAACTGTATATGTTGTACCACATGCATATGTCTCTGGTCAATGAAAGTTTTAAGAAACAGTTTAAGTAGCTCAAGTTCATTTCTGCTGTAGATCCATTTGGAGGAGACCCCTTCAAAGAGACAGATCCATTCAAGGCTTCATCAGAAGACTTCTTCAAGAAAACCACAAAGATGGATCCCTTCTCCAGTCCAGACCCTTTCAGTAAAAGTGCCACTTTACCCTCCAAGGTACTTGTTGAGATTCAAAGGTGGATTTGTAATGTATATCTGGTTATCCCAAGAAGGGATCAGAATGTTTAGTTTGCTCCCTCTGTTTCTGTTTTAGCGTTAGATCTCAGTTTTTACAATCGTCAATACAAACAACAGTCAATTTATATTAATTTATATTTTCATTTAGATTGAAGGTTTCCATAAGAACCTCAGAGATTTCTGGTTCAGTTGCACCCACTGTAGAGTTTACTCCAGCATTATAAACAAACAAAAAGACCAATAATAATTAATGCATTAATAAGTACATGGAAAACCCCCTCAATAAACATTGTAGTTAGAATACATTTTCAATTAACGTTGTATTCTTTTGTATATATTTCTCTCATTTCTGTTTTATGCAGCAACCTACTACCTTCACAAGCAGTGACCCATTTTCTTCAAGCCATCAAAAACCTAAAGGATCAGGTATGATTTAATACTTCCTCCTCAATAGCTTTGGACATCGTGTAGCTTTTGTAACCACAGAATAAAAGAACTTGTTATTCTCTGTGCTGTATAATATCCAAAAAGGACAGTTTTGGCCAGATACACCATTGTACAGCAGACCTAAGCTCTATTTTGAGTTTAGCTTGGAGTCAATTTTGGAATTTTTTTCAGTTTAGTGTTTGTTTTTGACACAAACATGTTTTAACAAACCTTTATGAATCCATTGGACCTGTTTCAGTAAACTGTGTGTTCTCTGCTGAGATATGAGTGTAGTCTATACAAACATGCTTGTTCTATGGGTCAAGTTGACTGTCACAGTGATTGAAGCAAATTGAGCCTCTCACCACACTTATTTACTTAGCTGAAGAGCACCATGTTAATTTGCCTATTAAAACCCAGGTTGTACAGAAGATGTGTCATGTTGCTTACCCAATGCTCTAAGTCCACTTAATAACTCAGATTTAATCCCACTGATCAATGGTACTCTCTGTACCATTCACAGAGTTAGGGAATGGCTTCAATCACAGCATTGTAAGATGGTGACAGATGTACCCTTAGACCCCCTCCTCGATTCAGAGATGGTCTTTCCCTTTTCACGCAAATTTCAGAATTCATCCAGCTTTTTCACATTATGAGTAAAGACTAGTGACTAATTCCACTTACAGTCTACCTATGATATGACTGCCTGGTTTTGTATGCCCTTCTATTCCTTCTCTATTACCGGTACTTCTTCTATCTTTCTATTTTATCAGAAAGTTGAAAGCTTTTCTGGTGCTTTGCAGACTTGAGTTTCTTTAGCGTTTACATTTTCAGATAAACCTTTTATATTCATATTTTTGAAAATTCCTGTTGATATGTACTATCAACAACATACTGACAACAAATCAGATTGATCTAGGAGGTAGGTGACTGGGAAACATATTTCTGTTAAACCCTTTTAATTAAACCTGAAAATCTAGACTGCAACACAGCGTGATTTCTTCATTCTAAATCTATTCATCTTAACAAAGCAATTTAACCTGATGATGGCTTTGAAAAAAGGTTAAGGTAGTTAATGTAAACTGGGAATGTGGAGCATCAATAAAATTTTATAACAGTGTGAACAGTATCCTGGCAGATATAGAAAATCTGGAAATATGTGATCCCAGCCCTACCTAATACTTCCAGGTACATTGAGATTGTTGATATAAATTCAGTGTAACTGTGTCATTTTCAGACCTCTTTGGCACACTGGACCCGTTTGGCAGCAGTTCATTCAACAGCAGTAACACTTCTGTTGGATTTGCAGACTTCAGCCACATGTCGAAGTCCAGAGACCCTTTTGAAGGAAGGGCCACCTGGCTTCCAGACTACCAGAAGGTATGGGAGGTGAACCTGATCTTGAAAATAAACCCTCTACCAAATATATTCAGATCCCACTCATTACATGGGCTCTGAAAGAAAACATATTGACAAAATTAAATCAATCAATTAAACCATTACAATAATGCTGTATTGTAATGGTAAAAGTGAACATTTTTCAAGTTTTCTGTCAATCTTGTGAATGTGATTACTCAAGTAGCTTAGGATTTTTAAATTGATACCATAAGTGTGTCTACTAGGAGGCTGAGGGGGTAGAACCGGCAGCTGCCAGTTTTTTTTTTCTTAAATTTTTTAGTGATAGCTTTTGTAAACTTTGTGATAAATTAAACAGTACTGTGCTTCCCTCGTGGGTGTTGGCTCTCTCCATTCCTATTACAATGCACAGTGGTGTTTGTTCATCCAAAGCACACTACTAGAATAATTTATTTGAAAGCCTGATGCTTTTCCTTGTCCACTTTATTCGGAAAACTCAACAGCCAGTTTTATTTTTTATCTATCATCAACTGATTTCTCAGACTTTTTATCTGATTTAGAACAAGTCTTGTTCTGTTTCAGACAATAAAAAAGCCCTCTGTAAAGCTTGAACTTACAATTCATCACTGATCGAAGAAAACAACAAAGTTTTCCTTCAGCACTGCAGCCAGGCTGACAGAAGGTCAGAGCTCTGTTGAGCCAAGCATTTTTTTAACCCACAGACATATCATTATGTACAGCTACTTTCAGTACCATTGATATTGAGACTCTAATATAGACTTCAGTTTGTTTATGTTTGTTTACACACTAAGGTTAGTTATTCCACAGTTTCCATTACATTTACATTACACATGCTTCCCTTAGGCAGTATCATCAGAAGGCATACATACAATAACATATCATAATAATCATATTATTATTGTGGTTTTCTCTGTTTTTTTATATTATTGTAGGGTCTTTACAATACAAAGCACCTTATATGAATAAAACTGATTTGAAATTGAATTTAAATTAGCTATCTCTCATTCCTTTATATTTTCTTCCAGACTTTGTTTTATCTCTTTAAGTGGTTTTAACAATAGTTTTCCAGGCTTTTTGAAGCCTTAAACTATTTCTTTTCTTTTTTTTAGTTTTCCCCTTATTTTCAGTCGAGTTTCAGTCTTGTACCTGATGAATTTCAGAGGAGTGTTTCCTCTGTAGGTCTGTGTTATGTGTTAAGCCACATAACACTGACCTAACTCAACACATAACACTTGGAAATGTTTTTGTTAGCAGGTTATTAGCAGCCTGTCACAAAAACACACCATTTGTTCCAATTTCTTTAGCCTAATTTCACGAATCCCAACGATTCAACAGTTTTACTTGTATAAAACTTGCCATAGCTTGGCTTTAGGAAACTGGAAAAGTGGAGGACAAAAACAAGTGGCTGGTCAAAAAAAAAAACAATACTGGTAGGAAGCTGACCAGTATCTGAAACTCACGTCCTTAGGAAATACGAAGAAAACTAACAAATACGTGTCACGAGGCCTGAGAAATGCATCTGGCCCTTCAGTTGACCCATTGCTGAAGCCTCATCAGCGTTGGTTCAAGCCTTTGCACAGTAATGTACAGTGGGGCAAAAAAGTATTTAGTCAGCCACCGATTGTGCAAGTTCCCCCACCTAAAATGATGACAGAGGTCAGTAATTTGCACCAGAGGTACACTTCAACTGTGAGAGACAGAATGTGAAAAAAAAAATGAATCCATGAGATTGTAATTCGATCAGGAAAATAATCATTGGTCAATAACAAATAACTATCTTTGTAACATAACCTTTGTTGGCAATAACAGAGGTCAAACGTTTACTATAGGTCTTTACCAGGTTTGCACACACAGTAGCTGGTATTTTGGCCCATTCCTCCATGCAGATCTTCTCGAGAGCAGTGATGTTTTGGGGCTGTCGCCGAGCAACACGGACTTTCAACTCCCGCCACAGATTTTCTATGGGGTTGAGGTCTGGAGACTGGCTAGGCCACTCCAGGACTTTCAAATGCTTCTTACGGAGCCACTCCTTTGTTGCCCGGGCGGTGTGTTTTGGATCATTGTCATGTTGGAAGACCCAGCCTCGTTTCATCTTCAAAGTTCTCACTGATGGAAGGAGGTTTTGGCTCAAAATCTCACGATACATGGCCCCATTCATTCTGTCCTTAACACGGATCAGTCGTCCTGTCCCTTGGCAGAAAAACAGCCCCATAGCATGATGTTTCCACCCCCATGCTTCACAGTAGGTATGGTGTTCTTGGGATGCAACTCAGTATTCTTCTTCCTCCAAACACGACGAGTTGAGTTTATACCAAAAAGTTCTACTTTGGTTTCATCTGACCACATGACATTCTCCCAATCCTCTGCTGTATCATCCATGTGCTCTCTGGCAAACTTCAGACGGGCCTGGACATGCACTGGCTTCAGCAGCGGAACACGTCTGGCACTGCGGGATTTGATTCCCTGCCGTTGTAGTGTGTTACTGATGGTGACCTTTGTTACTTTGGTCCCAGCTCTCTGCAGGTCATTCACCAGGTCCCCCCGTGTGGTTCTGGGATCTTTGCTCACCGTTCTCATGATCATTTTGACCCCACGGGATGAGATCTTGCGTGGAGCCCCAGATGGAGGGAGATTATCAGTGGTCTTGTATGTCTTCCATTTTCTGATGATTGCTCCCACAGTTGATTTTTTCACACCAAGCTGCTTGCCTATTGTAGATTCACTCTTCCCAGTCTGGTGCAGGTCTACAATACTTTTCCTGGTGTCCTTCGAAAGCTCTTTGGTCTTGGCCATGGCGGAGTTTGGAGTCTGACTGTTTGAGGCTGTGGACAGGTGTCTTTTATACAGATGATGAGTTCAAACAGGTGCCATTCATACAGGTAACGAGTGGGGGACAGAAAAGCTTCTTACAGAAGACGTTACAGGTCTGTGAGAGCCAGAGATTTTCCTTGTTTGAGGTGACCAAATACTTATTTTCCACCCTGATTTACGAATAAATTCTTTACAAATCCTACCATGTGAATTCATGGATTTTTTTTTCACATTCTGTCTCTCACAGTTGAAGTGTACCTCTGGTGCAAATTACTGACCTCTGTCATCATTTTAAGTGGGGGAACTTGCACAATCGGTGGCTGACTAAATACTTTTTTGCCCCACTGTATTTCACTTGCTGGGCCCACTTCCTCATTTTAGGTTTGACAGCGTTTTAGTAGGTATGCATGACATGAATTGAGCTGCGGTTTGGGGAAGGCATCGAAGGGGACTGGCGACGGCTCCCGGGCCTGGCAGATCCCCGTGTGCTAAATAGGAGTGAAGAAGTTAAAGAATTGAGAACCAGGTGGGAGGGTGGGGCACGTAAACGAGAATGAACAGCTTGCAGAACTGGGGGAACCTATATAGTTGACAACCAGAAGGAGCATGTTTGGAGGCGTGGTCCCACTCCTGAAATTCCGATAGATAATCTCCAATTCTGGATGGTGTTCATGTGATGCTGTTGTTAATCATATTTAAGAAGTAAAGACTCAGAACTCTAATGGCCTGTATTTCTTTTTCAGCATGATGATTCTGTTTCAAAATGACACATTCCTTTTCTCAAATTTTTTCCAGCCAGTGTTTGTGGATGACCCATTCAGCAGGAAGAATGACATGCCGGCTCTGCCTCCAAAGAAAAGTGTTCCCCCCAGACCCAAGCCACCCAGTGGTGAGTGTCACACTGTGTAGGCTTTTGAGGTGGCCTAGAAAGGTGCCAGAACTATACAAGAATACTGTTAATAGTATTATTTGTAGGTGTTTGACCTGAACTGTTTTCGTTTGGTAAAGAACACCTGGGCAGAATTTGAATCTTTTAGTGAAGACTAACAAAAATGTCTGTGAGAATCTACTGTGGTGAGTGAGGCTGAACACCAAAAAGGAAGTGGGACTTTAGCTCCTATATCTCAAACCAGCATAAATTTGGGGTTTTACTAAGTGTGATTTCCGCATCACTGCCATGCTCGTAATTACAGCTCTCCATAACTTTACAAGCATTGTATTTTTAAAGCCACACTAAACACATTTTATCCATCCATTTGTCTAGTTATCAACATCAGGCATGATTTCAAATCGTGCTTTCTTTCACGCATAAAAAGACAGTGAAGAAATTACCTGGAATAAAAACAATCCTCCTTAAAATCAAAGATGACGTCTTTACAAAAAACAAGTACAATTTAGCCTACGGCTCCATATAACATTGCTTTTGAGAGGAAAATTTAAAGAAAAATATCGCTTTCAAATGAGAGACACAAGAAATTCAGTTTCCAATATGGATCAGGCAGTGACACTGATAAAGCCATTTAGAAAGAGTAGCTTAAACTATTAAAAATAAAATGAAATCTAATGAATTGTGTTTATATAATATGAAATGGTAACACAGTTTAATACACAAACATCAGTTAGGGCTATTTATTATAAGGAATGGCAGATAGTAAATAAACAATACATGAAGCTAAAAAGATTAAAAAAAACAAAACCTCCAGTATTCATGAAAAAAATGCATTTATTGATTCATTTCTTATCTTTGACACCTTAATCTACTGTCTTGGGTTTTTGTGTAGATTTCATCCTTGCTTACAAATGCTGTGTTGTTTGTGTGCATGAACATGTGAAGGTGATGTCGTAAGAGACATGATGTGTGGTTTGGTTGGCCTGTTGTTTGCAGACACACCCTGACATACTTCCTCTCTCTTTCCTTGATGTGTTTGTACGCGAGTATTTATGTGTGGGTGAGTTGTTCAGAGAAGGGCATTCTTTAGACTGCAAGCTGTGTGCAGTGGCAAAGCATCAAAACTTTTTTTGCAATTTAAGAAGTTAACAATATTAATTAATATTATGAACTTCTTAAACAATATTTTTAAATATTTCATTAATGGTCTTTACGTTTTCTACCTTATCCTAAACCTAACCCATCTTCACACCTGTTTATTCTCTGTTATTTTCATTGCTTAATGAAGTGTAAACTATATAACCGAGGGCAGATTTGTGTGAAATATGAAATACACGTGTTTATGTCACTTTGTCTTTTACTGTATTGTTTTTGGTTCATTAAATGCTGCATGTTGCATGTACAATCTTCTGGTAAACATTGAAATTAGATGTGAAAAGTGTAGCAAAATATTTTAAAACAGGGTGGAGCTCATAATTGTGGTTTCTCAAGTGTGTGTGTGTGTGTGTGTGTGTGTGTGTGTGTGTGTGCTTGTGCGTCCATGTATGCAGTTTATCGAAAGAGGAATAACTGATCGCCAGGCGTGCACTTTTGCTCAGTGTTTAGTGTGAAATGAACTCACCATTACCCAGATAACTGCTCAGGGGTTATCTGGGTAATGGGACTAAAGGTATATGTGTGTGTTGTGTGACGCATGTGGTTTAGCACCTCCACAGCAAGTTAACGAAGTCTTAATGTTCCCAGGATCCCCTGTCCACCCCAAGTTCCACTCCTTGCTGCTACTAGCATTTTTGTTTGTTTTTGTGGTTGCTCATGTGGTTTAGCATTACTGCGTTATTGAGACTGATTAACTGCCAGTTTAAATGAAGATTGTGTTAAGTGTTGGATTGTTTAGTCCTCGTGGACAACAGTGCATTTTTTATTCTGGAAGTCAAAAGTTATACTGAATAGTCAGTGCAAGGATCCTAGTATGCAACGAATTTAAAGTTAAGAAAACAGATATATTTAGTCTGAATGATTTCTGTAGAAGTGAAACAACTAGTAAGTTAACATAATTAAATATGGAATAATTTCAATAAAAAGAATTGCTTTCTGTTTTCAAGTAAAAATGTGTGTGAGAATGTTTTTAATTACTCTCCCGGCATCATTATTATGATGTTTTACAGAGCTAAGTTAACAAGAAACTAATAATCACTAGTCTTAAATGTATAGTTTAACAGCTTTGAATATGCATACTCTCTGAACATGGGCACTGGTCTGTTCATCTAGGTGGTAAATTGGGGAACCAGCATTGGGTAACATGGGTAGAAAGCAAACCAAGTGATTTACTAGGAAACCGTTGAAAATCGTTTTGTGGGTTATAGGTCACTACTTTTGGTTTTTGTCTACTGGGTGTGGTCCTTTGCTTGTGTTTTTTCCTATGACAGCTGTTTTCATGTGTTTCCGTTCTCTTGAGAATGTAGTACTGTTAACGGTTTGCACTGGGACCTGATTTGAATTGTATAGTGTGCTGTGTGTGGATGTGAAACTTGTGTGGCTTTCAAAGCTGGCAGGTAACTTTGAGGTGACACTGGAGGTTAAGCAGGTCATGAGAAGAACTATGTGAACCAGCTCTTAATATGCATGGTTTTATGAAAAGCACACAAAATCAGATCTTTTGTTGTCAGCATAGTTGTTTGTGATCTGACCTTGGCCATTTTTATGAGTCATGACATCTCTCAGGTTTCACTCAACCTGTATACCTAGTTAATTTATCTTTCACTTTGACATCTTTTTAATAGTCCTTAGGTAAATGCTTGTCTAAATGATACTTTCTTGTAGTTCTTCAAATTTTTATCGCATGACAAAGTTATATCAGTGCTATGATCCTGTTGCTTGTATCAGTTTTTAGTCAGCAAGCTTTTGTTGTGGTTTAAAATCAAAACTAAAACTTGATGTTGATGGTGAAATAACCTGGAAAGGAAAACTCTTCTCTTTATGATATTTACCTCCTTTATTCTTTTATGTCTTCAGGTAAGACCACACCAGTGAACATGACTGGTTCATCTGACTCTTCCAAACCCTGTGATCCTTTCAAACCGTTCAGTGGCGAGGTCATTGACCCTTTTCAGAGTAAAAAGGGCCTGGGAGACCCATTCAGCGGCAAAGACCCTTTTGTCTCATCCTCAGCATCAAGTAAACCCACTAAAGGCTCTACTTTGGGTTTTACAGACTTCAATTCTGTAAGTTGAGATGAGTGATACTGTTTAACTGTCAGTGTGCACAACAGGTGTCACAGCTCAGTGCAAAGAGCCACACTACCACAATTACAAGGTTTCATTTTACTGCAATGGAAGGATCCTGATGAAGACTGCTGAGTGCCAAAAGTGCTGTTGAAGCACAAGACTTAGCAGAGTGTACAGTAATTTAGAATCCCAATGAGACAAAAACCCGTCATCCTTTGGGTGTGTATGGTTGTCACTGTGTCCTCTGTTTCTCAGGACCATTTAAACAGCAGCTTTAAAGCAATTCAGCACAGCTGGTGTTCGTTCACCATATGAACAACACCCCCATAGCCTTTCACCCCATGTTTCATTCTTCATATGGATGGACTTTATAGCTTTGATGACTGACAGTGTGTTAGGTGTACAAAAAAAGCTGGTAACAAAATTTAGAGCTGCTTATCAGGAGCTGTAAATGATGTTGACACTATGGACATTCAAAATGAAATAAAGAAATGAATTTCTCTTTCATGCAGAAATCTTCTCTCTATATATGTATAACATATACATCTAAAGCAAATACATAAATAAAGCCAGCATTATCCTCTTTCATCTGGCACTCTTATTATTATTCGTCAGATCTATTATCAACTATATTACTATAGTTACTTACATCTCACAGCTTTAAAAAAACATCCGCAAGTTATACCTCCGTAAAAGTTATATCTATATGCCTTACAGGCTTAATGTAAGCATCAAAATGACCTTAGCATTGTCCTCTGTCATCCATTGTTATTCTTCTTATGATAGGAATTACAGTTCTCTCATAAATGCATAAAAGCTGTGATAACACTATATAATATGAACTGTGACTAATGGTGAAGTTTCCCTGTAATTAAATAGAATTTAATAATATTTACTTACAAGTACTTAAAGGGAGGTACACTAGAATAAGAGGGTAAAAAGTCATGTTTTTAAATTAAACAATGGAATGATTAAACTATTAATATATATACTATAGATGGATGGATGGATACCCATCTTATATATTTCACAATGCGCCCGATATTTCTTCCAACCTTCAGAAGCCAGTTCGTCTGATTGCTCTTTGGGCAGCCCGTTAGAATTTATTGTATTCTGACAATCACACTGGTGGTAGCATTACATTTTGATTTGGTTGTGTGGCTCAGCAGGTCATTTGCTAAGCAGAAGGTTGGTGGTTGTCCAGTCCACATCCCAGAGTGTCCTTGGGAAAGATATTGAACCCCAAGTTGCTCCTGATGCGTTCATCGGAGTATAAATGCTAGAAAGCAAGTCTCAGACAAACGTCCTTGTATTAATGTATGTGTGAATGAGACGTGTTGTATCAAGCACACTGTGGAGGCCAGGCTATCTGGTGCAGCACTCCATCATGCTCCTTCTTGGTCAAATTGAAAAATAAATGACGGTCCAACTAAACGCAAACTGGTTGGGATGGCATGTTGCTGCAGGATGCTGTGGTAGCCATGCTGGTTCAATGTGGCTTCAGTTTTGAATAACCCCCAAGAGTGTCACCAGCAATTTACCAATTTTCCCAACTGACTGACCTTCAGTTCTTGAAGTAATTATGGACTCTTGTTTCTTTTTACTTAGCTGAATGGTTCTTGCCATAATATGTATTCGAACAGTGATCAAATAGGGCTGACAGCTGTGATGATTTTCTCCACTTTCCTCACCACTCCACTCGCAGTACTCCAGCCTCTACACCACACAGAGATGCAGCTAGTCAAAATGCTTTCTATGGTACTACTGTAGAATGTAGTTAACATGGGTAGGGGCGGGTGAGCACTTCTTAACCTTTAAGAAAGCTAAGTTAGGGTAACTTATTCATTGTGAGCACACTGAATTCTGAGCTCCACTGGAATGACTGAACTTCTTACCCTCTCTCTCTAAGGGAGAGGCCAACAACCTTTCGGAAAAGATTGTTTCTGCCGCATGTATCATCACTTATGACCACAGGTTAGAAAAGGGACATAGAGAGCTAAATTGAGAGTTTCACTTTCATCAGCTCTCTCTTCACCACGAAGAGCTGACCTTAACCCCGGTTCACAAAACACATGCAGACTTGGGCCAAACTCACAAACGCAAATATCCCTGAGATGATAAAGAGATTAACGAATGAACTTTCCCTTCCACTACTCCGCCATAGACCTTACCAGGAAGGTTGAGCATTGTGATCCCTTTGTAGTTGGAACACACCCTGCGCTTACCCTTCTGAAAAATTGGAACCACCACCCCAGTCTGCTAATCCAGAGTCACTGCCTCGGATCACCAAGCAGTGTTGTAGAGGCGTGTCATCAGGTCAACTGAACTTGTCCCATACCAAAGTTTTTCCTGCCTGGGTTGCAGCTGTCACCGGAGTTCCACATGCTATCCAAGCCCAATAGGACTCCTCCTTCAGCTTGATGGCTCCTTTCACCACCATGGAGATGCAAAACATTGTCCATTTGGACTCAATGTCCCCAGCTTCTCTGGAATCCGGAAATTCTGCCGCAAGTGGTTGCTGAAGTTCTCCTCTTCAGCAACCTCCCATTGGTGTGGGAGTATGCAAGGGAATCAAGAAAACTAGAGGATTATAGAAACCAACTCCACTTTAACCTCACCAAATCAGCATGTCAAGTATAAGAAAAACAGTGACGTCAGCTTGAGAATACCCTTGTTTTACATTGATGTTATACTTCTTTTGTTAATTGTATCTTGTAAAGCCAGGCTTATTGTGGTCTGAGTCCAGAAGAGTCTAGACACAAGACTTGCTAAATCCCAAAATATTTGCGGTTTTTCAAAACTGAGTTTTTCCTTATAAACCTTTGTTTGCCACTGTTGGAAGCCATCAAAGGAATCCTTAATAGCCCTCATTTTTGTTGGAAAAGATCTAAATTCTAATTAAAAGAACTAAAGTGTAATTACAGAACAGCTATTTATGTCTGTGTCTAAGTATCTCAAAAGCCCACTTTAACTGTACCAAATAATCAAAGCCTTTAAATTTACCCCACCCTCTGCCATGGCACTATATAAACTGGCTTTAGAAATTACAGTTTGGTATTGACACTGTAAGGCTTGCAGAACTGCACTGCAGAGAGTCTAATTTTCATGTTGTGCAGGAAAGGGTGTCAGCACTTTGTGTGGTTTTTTGTTTTGGCAGGAAGAATATCATAGGTGTTTTCAGGGTTTACCAAGACCTTCACAGAGGCAAATGGGTTATATCAGTTGTGGTAGATCTGTTTTTATCACGAGTGTTACTCTGAATTAATTGAGTCACTGAGACTAGAACAACAAACACAAACCTGTTGTGATCTTGGAACGGGTTACCAATCCATGGCGAGGCAAGAGACAAACGTTCACATGCTTGGATCCATTTTTAAATCCCCAGATAACCTAACACCTTTTATTCTATTTTAAGCCTGGAATAACTTTTCTGTCAGATTGGTTGACAACTCAGTTCAAATTTTCTGTTGGAATTATCTATTGAACACGAGACACCACAGTATCACTACTCAACTATCAGCTCTTGAGTCTGTCTGCCCTGCACGCTCTTGATGTTTGCTGCTATGTTACCGCCTTTGTTAAACTACTTTGATAAGTGTTTTATATTAACTGCTTATTCTTGTAATGCATGTCTTTGTCTTCTGTTACTGTTTTAGGTTTTCTCATTATTCTCATGCGTCTACTTCCATGTCTATCTTCAACCTGACACTGCAGCTAAGAACAGTGTCTCATGATCTGTCAATGCAACCTAACCTACATTCACAGCTTTACTCGTTAAATTGTAGATTAATACTTCGCTTTACTTAAGACATATGTCTCCTGAAAAACATCACAGTTCATATAAAATTTGTAAAGTATTTGGTGTTTGGCCATCCAGACATTATTTGAACCATGATGTACCATTATAAATTTGAATGGTTCTTGGATCTAATATTGGTATAACTACTATACTAAATCTACTACAGACAACACTTTTATTCCAGCCCTCTGGTAAGGGGACCTTTACATGAAGGTATGTTAGCTTTAGACTGTTCTACTTGATTTACAACATTTATTTCCACTTTTCCAAAATCAGGCAACTGCAGCACCAACACAAACAAAGACCTGTACTTCCTTCTTAAATTAAAAATAGTTTTTTAAAAAGTCATCTACTAAAGGCATTGCACACTTTGCTTTTAGTAGATGACTGTTACATCTGCCAAAACTCATCATTTACATTGTGTTTAAAATACTCAGATACAGATTTGTCATCTACTTTCTCTCACTCTCTGCATGTCACATCTTTTCTTGTAGAGGTCTTGTTAAGCTTTGCTTAGATCTTTGTGTTACACATTCCTGCTTGAAGGGATTCACTGGCATTCTGTTTCTTCACAGTCCATCTGTCTTAGTTTTTTACTTTAGCTTCAATACCTTTTATCAGTTTAAGAATTACTGATTTTATATGATTTTTTATAAACTGTCTAGTATTCGAATGCTAGTAGAATCACTTGATCTAAAAATAAATTACTAACAAATCGCTAAAAATAGTTTTTCAAAATGGACTGCACAGAAACTTGGCCAGTATCCATTTACATTGTCTGTTTGCTGTTGTGTGGTGTAACCAGCTTAGTGTTTTTGGTTATTAACTTCTCTGTTCTATAATCCAACTCTCTAACAGGACCTGACAAAGTCAAGGTAAGACGCACTATTACATTCACATAAAATGATCATTTGGGAAGTGTTATTGAAAATGTTGTTGAATATTTGTTGACGAGTAAGACAAGGATTTCAGATGTACAGTAATAGCAAGAGCTTTAGTTGCTAAACTAAAATACAGAAACTGTTTTTAATTTATTATATGAAAAGTGCTGTATATACATATAACAAAGGGCAGAGAGTCGCTACTTTTAAAGGTTATTGTAGACCCTGCAAGCAGATTTTTAAAATGGTATCACTAGGTAAAGGTTTGGACACATATGCTAGTTTGTATTCCTTTGTCACCTATTTACACACTCGCCTGAAACTTCTCACATATGCATTTACTTCAATCTGCATGTCAAAATGTTTTACACCATCTCAACTGGGTTTATTCTTGATATCAGATCATCTGATGGTCAAACATTCAAGGCTAATCAACTTTATTTTGACTAGACAAGACTACAATGAAAATTCTCTCATCTGGAATCATCAAATCAAAGTTGAGATTTTTACTCCTCTAAAGTTCCACTTATTTCTTCTTCTCCTTCTTGATTTATTTCACTATTGTTTCTTTACTGTAGTTTAACCAGAAAGACCAAATTTGCACATTTTTCTTTCAATACTTGATGTTAAGACGTACCTCTGTAAAATCTTAGTTTCTGAAAATGGTAACTGAGAAGCTTCTCCTCAGCAGAAAATGGTTTTAATCTTAAGTGGTTGGAGTGGTTCAGATGTTCCTCCATCCAAATGTTTGCATCGTTCTGCATCCAAGTGCTAATACACGTCAGTTCTACTAAACCAGGGGTCGGCAACCTGCGGCTCCGGAGACGCATGCGGCCCTTTAGTCCTTATAGTGCGACTCCGTGTGGTTTGGGAAAATAAATTAGAAGTATTTAGCTGAAGTGTATTTTACTTATGTTAGTTCTTTTTTAACTTGTAGTTCTAAATTGGAAGATTATTCTGATTTTGAAATATAAAAATACAATTATATTCTATTATTTTTTCATCGCTCAAAATAAGCGTCACACTCGCGTAAGCCGGTGTACCCGCCGAAACGCCGTGCATTTATCGAGACTTTCAACCCCAGGTAGGCCAATTATGGATCTTCGGATCCACATTATGTCAACAGCTGTTCTCCACTGTGAACAATGTTAAAGACAAACACCGCTGACGCCTCACAGATGACAGCTTACAGTCCTGCGTAAAGATGAAAGTGACTTCGTACAACCCCGATTTGCAGACGCTGTGCGCAGAGGTTCAGGAGCAGAAGTTCCATTGCAAACATACCACGGCAGACCCGACGATGTTTCCATGAACACGCTTTTCAGCATCTCTTTATTGACCACTTTTCACACACGGTTGCTGTACGCATACAGCCGGCTGCAGCTTTTCAGCTCACAGCCCGACACACACCAACACAACAGCATAGAGAGCACAGACGTTAAGGCGGCGAGGCGTGATTGCGGGTGCCGCTCAGGTGCGTCCGCCTCCCCTGCAGCGGCGCTGCAGACCACGCCCCGCCACACACATTAACCAGGTAAAATACATATTTAGGCAGAATTCTTTTAGCAGCATAGTGCTTTTTTCCCAATTACTTTTTAAGTCAGGTCAAGGCTCCAAAAGCCCAAAGGCGATATGAGGGCGGCGGCTCACAGCAGTTTTTGTTTGCTGGATCATTTTAGTTCAGCTGGGTGTCTTACCTTTTGTTATATTTCTTTAAGAGTTCAAAATGTGTTAATTACATAAATAAAATGTAATTTTCTCATTAGCACTTCAAGGATTTCATAAGCAACACACCTTAGTTGTTCACACAAAGCATAAAGGTAAAAAACAATACATACAGTGTTATCTTCATTTTAGATGTCAAAAAGTATTTGCGGCTCCCAGTGTTTTCGTTTGCGTGGAAATCGCGTCCTAATGGCTCTTTGGGTGTTAAAGGTTGCTGACCCCTGTACTAAACCAACCGAATGTGCAATATCCAATCAGTATCCATCAGTATCCTGTTTTCAATCTGACAGTGGTTCTAAATTACCTCTAATTTTTGATATGTTTGATAATTGACTTTGTTACTGTTCAAGTTGGAAACTCTTCAAACTTAAACACTGGACACATGTCTAAGTATGTGGATGGACAAATTTGTGTTCTTTTGACCACAGCTTACGTCCTCTCTGATCTTGTTATGTGGAAAAGGAATTGTTTCAAAAACAAGGACTTATTGTGCAAAAGTCTTGAGCCGTGCCTCATTTCTATGTCTTTTGCTTTCAAGGACCAACACTTTTTAAAGTGGTCTTGAGCAAGTTATTGGGTTACTCAGACCCTCTTGAATGTCTTTCAAAGTTTTTCTTTGGACATTTGCTGCTTTTTTACTCATTTCCAATTTTTACTACCAGCCTATCAGACAACACAGTTTGACAGAAATAAATTATCTTTTTGACACCAACAAGATGCTATTAGTGGAAAATTTGGCATATCTTCAGATTGTGCGCAGAGAATTTGAGGAGACTAGACAAACAGACAACTATATAAGAAGTGGCAGGCCTATACACTGTCTACGGCAGATGAATAGTATCTGAAAATCAAGTCCTTAAAAAATTGGAAAAAAACACAGGACCCGATGGCTACATCTGGCTCTTCAGTTCATCCATTCACTGAAGCCTCATCAAAAATCTTCTCAGTGAAGGGGGCCTGTCTAGGAGCCCTTAAGGAGAACAGGGATAAAAGCATGATGTATGATAAATTGCACAAGAAATGGACTGAAAATCAGTGGCAACGGTGTGTGATGGACTAATTAATCTAGATCTGAAATTTTTAGTCAAGTGGTTGCCAGTATGGGAGAAGGCGCTGTGAGCTTCTACAGCTATAATAATAATAATAATAGTAATAATAATACATTTTATTTAAATAGCGCCTTTCAAAGCACCCAAGGACACTGTACAACAGATAAAAACTGGAAATATACACATTTGCTATCTGCAAAACCACCAGATTTTGATCCACAATGAAATGCCATCTGGAAAGCAACTGATTGGCGACAGCTAGTTTTTTTTCGCCATGACAATTAACACACACACTGTCCCACACACAAAACAATCAATGCTGTCAGCCACTTATTGGCCTCCCCAGAGTCTGGAGCAGTTTGGCATCCACATTTCAGAGCTTTGAAAGCTTTGAAAGCTTTAAGAACTATTCTTTAAGACTACTTGAAGAAATGACAAGAAAGGTGCCTAAGAGAGTTCAGACTGTATCGAAGAATAAAGGTGTTCATACCAAATATTAACTTTCAAGCTGGTTAGAACTGTACAAACTGTTTTTGACTTATATACTGTAGTAAGTTTCCACATTTCAATAAATCTCTTCATCTGTTTTCCATTTTGTTTGCAGAATAGAAAGAAATGAAAGACTGCACAGGACTTTTGCACAATACTGCAAATCTCAACGCTCTCTCTCGCACTCTCTCTATCTTTCTCTTTGCAGTTTGGAAACGAGGCTCAGCAGTTAGAATGGGCTAAACGTGAAAGCGAGCGTGCAGAACGTGAGCGGCTGAAGAGACTCAGACAGCAGGAACAGGAGGACCTGGAACTGGCCATTGCCCTCAGTAAAGCAGAGATGTCCAATGCATGACCTGGAGGTCCCACTACATGTGAATACTTGTATAGCCATAGTGAGGCTAACCTGCAGACAAAGGTGACTGACTGAAATATTAAGACATGAAACACATCACTGAACTAATTACTGCACACACACTCACACAGAACTCCACACTCAGCGACTTTATTGGATTGGAAGAGAACAAGAAACTTTCAGACGAGTTTGGATGATGGCCCTGCAAACAGAAAAAACCCAGTAAAACAGAATCGTGGGTTGCAAAACATCATTGAAAAACGGGTGCTGACATGAAGAAAAGGGGAACTGAAATATAAAGACGTGGAAAGAAAGCTGCTTGGTAGAAAGAGTGTACAGGCCCCATAGTAGCTACACGGTAATGTTGTTTTACCGATTAGGGAGACTAGCTAATCGCTGCACGACAGTTTGTATCACTTCATGTTTCTTTGTTTTGTTTTTTAAGCTACACTCTCCATATGGAAACAAACCTTGCTGTCATTAATAGAAGAGCAGATGACCTTTTCTTTTGTTGTAACAATCAGCAGCAAAGAAATTGCCCCTGTACTTCTCAGAAGGGACTTGTAAATTGGTTGTATCATTTAGTTAATAAAATTACATGATGTAGTAAGTATGTCAGTTAATATTCAGTGCTAATGCATAGAATGAGGTTTAAATTCCCATTTGGTATAGAGAGGCTTATAGAAAGGACTGGATTCATTCAGTAATAGTCATTAGGGGAGGGTTTAAAAAATCGATTTCCCCGATTCAAATCGATTTTTGTTTGAATAAAGCGATATCGAGTCATTAAATCCTGATTCGATTTTTAATTATTTTTAAGTATTTTGTCAGAAACAACAAAATCTCAGCTTAAAGCTCACAAAATGACTTCAACAACCACAAAACAGCAAATGAGAGCAGTTGAACGGATTCCGCGAAAAGACGTAAACACAAATCGCGGATCGTTCACCCGAAGATCTGCGCACATACATGCCGTCAGCTGCTGAAAGCAAACAGATTCTGAAGTCGCAGGTTTTGCCACTTTCCGACCAAAATTCACTGATAGGCAGCAAAAAAAAGATCCAAACTACGCTTCACGTGTGAAACACATCGTCGTGAATTCCCTCTTACTTTACAGTTTTGCTTCCACTGCGATAAAAATCACACTTCCTGCACGGCTCTCTCTCTCACTCTATTTCAAGAACAGTTTCCAATCTGAAATCTGTTTTCTGCATTATGTACAGTTTTATGTACAGCGCTGGTTTTTTTTCTCTGTAACTTTGCTCTGCTTCACTTCAGCAGCGTCAGGTAATGTTTATATGCAGATTCATGGTTTTCTTCCGTTTTTGTTCAACTGCAGAATATTTTTAAGGCGGTTGTCTGCTTTATAAAGCCAGACCAGGAAAATCTCCTTCATGCTTTTCTGTGTTTTATCCTCAGTTACTTTGACACAAAGGCATCTGCTGTGATGCTCACACCTTTGATGAAGTGTCAGCTTTTTATACACAGATATACAAATATGGACATGTATTAATGAATGATCAGAACTATAATATTTCTGACTGTCTGAGTCGAAACTGAATCGAATTGAATCGGGGAATCGAATCTGGACCTTCTGAGTCAATCAATAACCAGCCCTAATACTCATTAAATATTCTTTTAAGGCCAGACACTTACACTAACAAAGACTGAGATAAGAAGTGAAAAGATCGATATTAACAGTATTTTTAAACTGTATTTAACCACTTTGTTTCAAGCTAGACTAAAGTCAGTGCTTCATTTTTTCTCATGACTCCAGGTGAGCTTATATCTCCAAATATCAGGATTTAGAGATTAAACACTTTAACCAGATAAAGATTCAGGCAATCTGGGATACCAAGAGCCTTATTATCCAATGGTTCCACTGTATAACAATTTTAACAGTAATGTTAAAATTGTCATGAAATATTCCTTCTGTGTACTACTGAAATTCAAAAGGCCTCAAGGAACCACAGACAATATTATCTTTTCAGGTGTGTGCTGTAGTCCCTGAGTTTAAATGGCTTCTCTTGTGAATTTGTCTTTCAGTCCCCAGTTTAAATGTGACATAATGTGAAAACCCACTTTACTTTGTGTTGAGCTTATTTATCATGAAGAAATAAATAATACAGAGCGGGGGGAAGAGACTCAGAGTAGGGTTGTTTTTCTTTGGTACTCTTCTGCCTTGAGTCTGTAGCTTATATGTTTCTCTTTTTCAGTATTACGTTTGCCACCCATCACAGACGCTCCCTTCCTCTGGCTCATCATTTCAGTTTAAAAAAAATGAAGACATAAAAGTAACAGAAGCTGAGGGAAGCAGCGTGCATTACATTGGTTTCCTCTAATGTGATAACTACCTAATGAATGAAAATAACTATGTCAGGATATCGACATATTCTTTGGAGTGAGAGTAACGTACTGTAAAAATATGTTGTCCGTTATCATGAGTGAGGTCATCGTGTAGAGTCCTCTGCACTGACCTGTAGAGCTTTCTTGCCGTCTCTGCGGTGTATATAGACAGAGCCTATGCCTCTTCTTGACAACTGTACTCTGATCACAATGATGTGATATCATACCACATCCAGCAAATGAAATAAAAGATGAGGGAATTCATTTTTCATATTTCAACTAGTCTGTTTTTTATTGATTCTTTTGTAGAAACTGATGGTTTTAGCACTGTTTTTAGTTGGTGACGACAGAACGGCAAACACAAGTTGCAGATAGATTTCTGACTGGCAGGAAACTGGATGTTGAAGAGTGCTAATTCTTATGTGACATAGTTTGATGCTCCATAACAACTCACTTTGTTTATTTTAGGAGTTGTCTCTTTACTTGAACTATGAACCAATGCTTAAGGGAGAACAAAATCCGTTGTTTCTAGAGTTTTGTTTTGTTTTTTATTTGGATTTTGTTCTTTTACTGTCCCAAAAAAGCAGATTTCATTGAACTTAACTTCTGAGCTGTTAGTGCAAAGCAAAGCTTACTGATGTGATCTTTATACTGTAACATTGCACTGGATGCAATCTGATGGAACCTAAAAATGTTTCAGTCATTCTGAAATCACTTCAGATTTGTTGCAATTTAATGAAAATATAAACTCCTTCAAATAACAAAACACTGGCGTACATTCTGCTTAACTTGAAGTTTAATACATTAAAAAAATGTACTGAAATGTTCAGGTTGCGTCAGATTTCAGTCCAAAACTGTGATGGGATGGTCCCAAATACGAGCTGGAGGCATGTAAAGGCTCTGAAAGTGGCTTTGTACTGAGTGATATGACAGAATGACCTCCAATAAGTGTTACACTTGCTTTTCCACTCATCACGTTGAAAAGGAAAATGCTGGTACTAATGTGGTTACTTTCATGATGCAACATTGCATATTTGTTTGTCTTTTTCTTCCCAGATGTCAGACATATTGAAACTGCTTTCCAGAGGGTCAGCATTATATAAATCCTTGTAATGTGAATTCACCAAAATAGGAGTGAAAAGTGAAGTTAAGGTTGATAATGCACCCCTGATTCTGCGAGTAAGAAGTGTAAACTGCCTCTCTCAGCTTTTCTTTGTTATGTTCACACATCAAGAGTGTTTCTTTTACTATAGCTGTTACTGAGCGGTGTCCTTAGTATGTGATAAACCTGCTTTCATCTACTTCTCAGTCATAAAACACACGTTGGCTTTTAAGTCTCTGCCATGAACAGAAGCCCCCTCGTGTCCGTCCGTTTTCTCAGTTTAAATAAAACTGTTCATGAGCTTCTACGCGCCAGCAGGTCGTCAGCTACACACTTGTTCTCACTGCATTATAAAAAGTTACAGTTAACTTAATTGCTATCGAGTAAAAAGCTTATAGTGTGGTATACTAGAAGTTGACTAAAAAGCTATGTGTATTATCTAAAAGGTGCAGTATGTTCAATACCTTACTGCAGGATTGTTTGCCCCTGTTTTTCACAGTGGCTAGTGGTGTTACTTTTGTTTGTTAACCAGATTTCTTTCATTCTTACAGCACATTGACATCAGATCAAGCATGTATTCCAATAGCAGTCACCTAACAACTCATCTATACTAGCTTGAGAAGCAATGTGATCTAAGCTTCTTGCTTGGGGCATCTCTAAACTTGTCACTGCTGATTGTGACATAATAGTCTAACTGCTTCGTTAAGGTGATATCATAGCAAGAATGTTCATGTTTCAAGTCTCCTTCGAGCTGGCCCCTCACAGGTGGAGTTTGACTTTTCGGCTTCCTGCCACAGTTCAAAGACATGGTTGGTTTGACTTCTACATAGGCTGTGATTTTCACACAAATATGCTTCATAACCTAACGTGCTGTATACCACTGAGGTCACAATGTGGGAGATTTGCATGTGGTACTGAGCCTGAAAGAAGTCTGTATAGATACAGCTAGAGCACTGAAGCTTTTGCTATTCTTCTTGTAACTATGTGGAACCCACACTGGCTTAAGTGCTATAGAAGTTTATTTTTCCCAGAACTAAAGAGAGTGTCCTTTGACTGAGTGTGTATGTGGATGGCTCAGCTGAATTTTGAAAGCAAAACGTGGACTCGTTCTGTATATTATAGGGCAGAGAGGTGCGTTATCTTTATAGCACAGCTGACATTCTGTGGCGGTGTATATACTTCAACAAGCTAGGATGTGATATTTTCACACAGTATAACTAGCAGCATGTAGGAAACAGAGGGACCTGTGATTATGCCAACGCACTCCTTGAGAAGTAGGGTTGGACAGCAGTTCTATGGGTTTGATTCTGACGTTCTGCACCAGTGCTGAAAACAATTGAAATTAGAGTATGTGGTGAGATGGAACAACATGCATATTATCATTAGCACCAAGAACTAGCAGCACTCAATACTCGGTCCTTCTGTAAAAGACCGCATATGATGTGTGTCTGCAATCACCCCGTCTGCTGTGTACTGCTGTTAACAGACTGGCACCATTGTTCATACTGTATTTGTCATTAGATACCTCCATTGTGCAATAGATATGTTTCTTTTATTGTTGTTTTATGTATAGTCTGAAAGAAGTCTAATTTTTTATATGTTGTGTATGTTTTTAATATAATTATTTATGTATCCACAGCCAGCCACTCTTCTGACCTGATTTTCTTCCAAGCATCAAAAGCCTTTTATCGCAAATCCTTTTTTTTTTTTTTTGAGGAAAAACAAGTAAACACAATGTTAATTACTAAATGTTATTAAAATATCAACAGTGTTAGCAGTTAAGAAATATCAGCTTATGATTGATGATAAGTGTCAAAATTACAGCTTAACAGTTTCTTTGTTTTAATGTTCATTTTATCAGAATGGTTCATGTTTTCTTGTAGTGTGAAACCACTGAGTTCTGTCTTTGCTGGAATGCTGATGCTTAATATTAAGCAGGCAAAATGAATTCATTGTGTCATTCGTCATTTCTTTGATTTCTGTTGTTCTTGTTGTTGTTGCTCTCTCTGCTATCGACAAATTATTCAGCGCTGTTTTTATAAAAATGCATACAGTGCGTGTACGGTCTCTGTAGTATCATGTCTGGTATATGTGTCCTAACAGCATAAACAAACGAACCAGTGAATTATAGAGGAAAACATTTGGAACAACGGGTAGAGAACAGAGGTTTACCTAGAAAAGTGAGGATCTCTATGGTCTCTATATGGTCTGTACTGTTTACTAGAATAAACATTTCCATTAATGAATGCATGTTTGACTTGTCAACAGTTTTGTATGACTATTTGTAAAGCTTAATATAATATTACACGTTTAGAAATCTTAAATTCTTAATTACATATTTAGGGAAAAAGTGCCAAAAGTAATTTATTAAATCCCTAAATCGCAATTCCATTAAGAAATAAAGTGATTTTAATCATTTTAGAAGCTATTAGAACTTAAAATCCATCCTTCAGCATTTTCAAAGTAATTTTTTTTTTTATCCCAAACAATCTTTTCCAAACCAGACATCTGTAGCAGTATTCACAGTGCTTCACTTCTTCCACATTTTGTCAGCCTGATTCAAAAATTGAGTCATTTTTCACCTGAAAAGCCTACACACAATCACCATAGCAACCGTGATGAAAGTTTACAATTCTCCATTTCAGCTAAACTCGTTGTTTTGAATGTCATGGCAAAGGATGTCAGTGCTTAACTGTAATACTTGTTCACGGTATGCTTTTGTTTTTTAGTTTTTATCCATATGGATGAATGTCAAGCGGACTTTTTATTCATGGATTATTTTTGCGTTAAATTTTGAGGTGAGAAATGAATCCTTTTTGGAATGAGGCTGTAACAAAAGTAAATACTTTACAGATGCTCCTCCCCTCCCAGACAGTCACAGTGTGAGGTGAATTACTCATTTCAAGGGCACACCTGTCAAGTGTGAAATGAATGCTGTGCAATTCTGGACATATTAGCTGTAAACCAAGCAAATCCTCTATGTTGGCAAGTGCTAACTGTCTCACTGAGGAATAAGAGGAAATTCTTCACACTATTGTGTTTACTCTACGATAATGAAGAGGAGGAAAATGGAAAAACCTGTGAGCCCGAGAATATTTGTGGGTAATGTTGGAGTGCTGTTAACATTTTTGATACTAAAAACCCAACAACCTGGAGATAAAAGAAGCCCTTTGTATTGGAGGAATTAACCATGAGCACTCACTAGTCCCTGTACATCTATTCAACTGCTTGCTGGTGCACTTATGTGATCAACATGACAGAAATTCAATATATTCAGGCAGACATAATCAAGACAACCCACTTAAGTTCACCAAGCATCACAATGGCTCAGAATGATGAGTTAAGTGACTGAGAATGTGGCATGGTTGGGATTTTCATGCAGGAACATCTTTACAGATAGTGTTCATTCAGGGGGCTGGTTTCAGTTATTGTGCAATGTACTGTTTATTGCAAAGTGAAAGTGTTAAGGAACCACAGCAAGTGTACCTCGTGAAGTTACAGCGCAGAGTTGCTGAATGCTGAGGCTACGGTAAAAGCTGGCAAAGCTCTGCTGACTAAACCTCCTCTGGCATTAACATCAACACATAACCGTGGACCTTGAGCTTCATGACATGGCTTTCGATGACCGAGTGGCTCCTGTTGATGTAATGTGTCGGTAGCCTGGTACTTTCTTCCATATAGTGTATATATGAACTTGACTTTTATGTCAAATGGAGCCGCGCACACGTTTTGAAATTATATCTCGATTGAGGTACTAACATCTTGACCATAATCTGCCATGGCATGATGCCATCCTGGAAACGAACTGACAGTCTCAAGCTGAAAGGAAACGGGAGCCTCACTGTGTTTTAGGGGCTGTGGCTCAGCAGGCAGAGCAGATTGTTGAGTAATTGTAAGGTTGGCAGTCTGATGTCCAGTTCAAGAGCCATAAGACAGTAAACTGAACCAAAATTGCTCCTGATGCATCCGCTGGAGTGTTGTTGTGCAGTAATTAGAAAGCACTTAAAGGTATACAATAAAAAGCACTGTGTTAATGTGACTTCTTGTTAAAAAAATACTTTGAGTCTTCAGAGTGGATGAGCACTGTATACACACCAGTCTGTTAACTGGTAACAATGAATTTTGACTCCCAATCTTAATGTGTGTAAAATTGTTTATCTAAGGAACTCGGCACTAAATCACTTAAGCAAAATGTAGATATTTGAAGAACATGTTATTTTTATGAAGATAAAAGTTAATCATTAGTTATACAGGATTACAGTAAACTACTGTGACATCACATCACAAGACTAATACCTGTGTTAAAGCCCGTCAAGGAGGCTGAGACAGGAGAATACATCCAGAATGCTTTGTCCAGGCAATTGTTTAGATAACTGCCTTAACTTTAACTGCACATGTGTATTCTGTTTGTCACAAAATGTTTAGTTCTTAAAGTAAGAAAACAGTCTGTAGCTGTGGTTCACATCAAGAGGCTGGATACTGTTTGCTTGTACTCTCGTTATTCCTGCTTACCTGAGACTTCACATGTTGACTGTTTCATTTTAAGCAGATTAGAATGCTGACGCCATCATTTGGTCAACAACAACCCTTATATGGCTGCTAGCACAGCTACACCTTCTCTGATTTCATAGTTGCTGAAAAGCTGATCTTGCTTTCATAACACAAATTACCTGCCCAAATAATGGGGCTATCGGAGATATTTGACAAGCAAATTTAACATGATTTTATCTTTTTAGACAAAAATGAACTGAGCAGACTCCCAGTGTTTTTGTAGGAGTGTAAATCTTACCTTCCGCAAAAGCATGCAGCCAGTGTTTGATTAGCTTTGGCTGCAAGCTCATTTTATCCACTGGTGAAAATCTAATCTGGCCTAAAA